TTCGGAGGGAGATCTCGTTCTGCTCGATTCCAGAGATGCCTACAGGGTGCGTTTTCATCGTCAGCAATTGTAAACAGTGGAGAATGTCTCACGTATGAAACATGGGATTTTTGGGCCCCAAAATTTCTAACTCGCTAAATCTGGTAAATCGGGAATTAATAATAAAACTGACAATTCGTCAAAGCTAGGAAGCTGAAATTTAAGAATAATGTTCCTGCTCATTTATTAATTCATTCGCTGCGCACGCCTAAGTCTCAGGCGTGAGCACGCGAAAATTTTGGCGCCAGAGTTAATGATTTGAGAACCACAGGAGCTAGGGAGCTGAAATTTCGTGGGAATGTTTCTGTCCGACTGTAAATTCTCTCCGCGTGCGCGCCTAGGTTTTAGCTACGGCACGTGAAGATTTTAGCGCCAAAATAACTTACGAGCCATGAAAGCCAGGGGAATTTTAAAGAAGTGTTTCTTGTCTGCGTGTGACTTAGAAAAATTAATTTCAGCCTTCAAGTGCGCCAAGGCCTCGCCTACCTACACATAAATATTTCTGGCGCCAAGATTAATAATTCAAGAACTGGGAAAGCTAGGAGGCTGAAAATTTGGGAGAAGCTGAATATGGGTATGCGAGTCATTGCCCGCATATGACTCGCATACCCATATTCAGCTTTTCCCGCATGCCTGGGTCTCATGTAAGGGCACGCGAGGCTTTGGGCGCCAAAATTAATAACTTGGGAGCCAGGAAAGCTAGGAATCAGAAATTTCTGGATAATGTTCTTGCCCACGTAAAATCCAGTCCCTGCGCGCGCCCAAATTCAGGAATGGGCGCGCAAAAGTTTTGGCGCCAGAACTGGTGACTCGAGAATCACAAAAGTTAAGAGGCTAAAAGTTCAGGTTGAAGTTCCTGCCCGCCTGCAAACTCAGTCCTCGTGCTCGCGTAGGTTTCACGCAGGTCTGCGTTGCGGTTTTAGCGCCAGGGTTGTTAATTTGGAAACGAAACCACAAAAGCCAGGAGACCAAATTCTAGAGGAGTGTTCCCTGCTCTTGTATGACTTGGAAAAATTTTCAGCCTTCAAGGTCTCATGTACAGAAATATGAAAGTTCTGGCGCGGAAATTATTAAATTAGGAAGCAGGAAAGCTAGGGAGAATATTGAGAGAGTGTCCCCTGCTTGCGTATGATCGCGTAAACTCAAATTCAGCTCTCTCCACCTCCTAGATCTCGCGCAGAGATGCGTAAAATTTTTGTTTCCAAAATTAATAACTCGAGAACTAGGAAAGCTAGGAGGCTGAAATTGCAGAGTAATGCTCTTGTCCACATATAAATTCAGCTCTTGCGCGTGCGCATACGCCACAGATATAGACACATGGAAGTTTTGGCGTCAGAATTAGCATGTAACGTATCAAACAGTAATGCACTGGACACTTTTAACAGTAAGGTTTCCCTGAACGGAGTTGCGCAAGCATCCCCGAACCAAATTGTACAGAAGTTAACTGGACAGGATGAATGCAGTAAGGTACCCTGGCGCGTGCCACTGTTTTTTTTTGCTTTCTAGCGTTGTCAGTCCCCTTCTGCGTGTCGGATCATCATCTTCGTTTCGATAGATTTTGTTTCGGTTCTTTTTTCAGCTAAATTTTATCGCATTTCCTCATTAGGCGGTTTTAACACAATTTAAAAAAAAAAAAAAA